TTATCTAAATCTTCTCTTTTGTTGGGGCCAGAGGACCTCCAAGAAGTCATTCTTTCCAGATAGGCAGTTAAAATGAATCATCTCTGGAGGTGTTTATCTCCTTTTAGGGAGTACAGGAGGAGACTAAACAATGATATTCTTAGGCTAAACACCCAGGTTTTAATGAAGAGAGATCCTGCACTGCATGACCAGCCCAGTGCCAGGGTTAAAAGTGGTCTCACAGGGATTGTATTTTGGAGCTTTTTGCTGGTTTCTGTACAACCCCAGTCGAATGAACTGTCTCCTTTTCTCATAAGTATGACTCTGGATATTTCTTTTGATCGAGTTTCTTCAAAACTAACCATTTCATCGTGCCAGGAATCTTCACTCCAGACAAGTGCCTAAAGTGTGTTGGAAGGCAAAGGTACAGAAAGTCACTAATAGGAAATTTCTGTAAAGCACTGAATACGCATTATGGTTAAATATTATACTTCATGTGAGCTGTAGGCAAAACAAAATGTTTTACAGAGGTCAGTAACAGTTTTGGAGACTTAAGCTCTCCCATTAAGTGAGGCAGAGATGCCTGGAGACCCTGGAGGAGTCTCTTGCATCAGTAGCAGCCAGCTGCTGGAAAACCCTGGAGAAGATGCGGCTGGTAGAGCACATGACCAAACCATGGTCTGTCAAACTCACAGGAATAAGGGGCTGCCAGGCCCTTTAGAGAGGTGTTGGAAGCAGCCAGGAGACCGCAGAGGTCTCCAGACCTGCAGCTGGGCGGATAATATCCAGAGCGCAGGGATAATATCCAGGCGGGGGATAATATCCAGAGCGCAGATTAGCTGAGCCCAGGGAGGCTCGAGCGGCCCCATGAAGTCCTGCCTGGGCGCCGCACTCAGTGCTCACCCCGGGACCCTTCAGCCTCCCCATCGGGGTAGGACAATGCACCCAATCCTGCTCTCCCGCTCCAAGGCCAGTAGCAATCCCCCCACCTCGCCCTCTGGCAAGAGTATCCCCAATCACATCAGCTGCRGCATTAGCGGATTAAATGGGCCAACTAAGCACAAGAATGTGCCAATTACTTAAAAGGCCGCACAGGAGCAAAGGGAACAGAGGCCCCTTCAGGAGGGCGTTGTGGGGGGACAATGAACACCTCCAGCTCCGTGTGTCCTGGCCTGCTGGTGTCTGCATCGCTGGTCACAAGGCTGCTGCCATCAGAGCTGCTTTGCGTGGGGAAAGTCCCACTGCAGCCCCGGTTCAAAGGCAGGCTGCTCCTCACCCCCGCAGGCAGCCTCCCGAGCAGCGCTGGCAGCAACCGCAGTGGAAAAGAGTCATCAAACAGAGCACAGGAAGGCTCGTGCTCCACAAATATTTGTGGAGCTGATTGTAGCTCACTCAGTTCCAGCCTCTGGATGCGGAGAACCTGTGGGAAAGATGTGAAAGCACCTGCAATTCAACCACCCTTTACTCCTCTCCTCCTGCTGTGCCCAGTTGGAGAGAGTGATGGTCCCAGCAAGGTTGTTTCCAGTTATGAGGCCTAGCGGGAGCCAGGTTGGGCTGAGTGCAGTGGGCAGCAGTGACTGCTCCAGGGGTTTTGCCCAGGTGTTTTCCATGCATCCAGCCCCACACAGCTGTAAGCTTTCCCACAGGACCAGACAGCTTCATTTTGCTTGAGAGTGTAGGGCCAGGGCAGCACTTGGGCTGGGGATGCTTGAGAGCAAGGTTAGCAAAGGCACGATATGCAGACGGGGACAGATGGAGCGGGAGTCACCAGGGCTCCTGAGCCTGTCGAGCACAGAGTGAAGGAGGAAGTACTGAAAATAAAAGCAAGACTGCTGTGACATTTTCATGCTTGGCTTATGACATCCTCTCCCTCTTCTACACTTGACTTCCTTGCTTATTTTTATCAGATGAAGCTGATGGTCGCTGCTACGGTAACACCATGCGGTTAGTGAGCAAGTGCTCAGGGCATGTTTCCCTTGTGGCTTCTCTCCCTGCTCCTTGTTCCCACCCCTTGAGTGTCTCAAAACTGTGTGTTTAACTGTGCTTTGCCCAATATGTTGGGCAGGTGTCTGTTGCAATGGTGGGAAGCTTGCTCCTCCAGGTTCTGCTTGCTTGACCCGCTAGCTATTGCCTTCTCTTCTGCTGGTGCAACTCAGTGGTCTCCTACAGGCAAAGCACAGGTCTGCCTGACTCCGAGTACACAGAGGCTGTTTTTTTCTTTAACGTGGAAAAGGTACAAAACAACTCTTGAAGGGCTGATAACTTGGGTTGGTGAAGAAAGCTCTTCGCTATCAGGATGGAACCTGACTGGAAACGATGACATAAATACTTGTCTATTTTTTCAGCTCTTTCCTTCCCCCTCTAGGTTGGTTATAAAAGCATGCAGGGCCAAAGGATAAGGCCAGGAGCCTTCTCATATCCCTTGAAGACTATTTTTCCTTCTGGGACCACACAGCAGCACCAGCCAGCAAGCAACGGCACCTCTCATCCCTTTCTGAAGATGAAGGCTGCTCACAGCCATAGATTTATTATTCACTGGAATAGATGAAAAGCCAGGGATGCCTCATTAAGCAGAAACTGGTCACTCCATGGGGCCTGCTGTCTTGGGCATGGTGCCGTGCACCGCTTCCAGAGCTYGCATCTGGACAAGCGGTTGTGGGTCTGCCAGCACCACGACAGCTGCAGCGCAGGAGACGTCAGGCACGTCAGCATGGGCCACGGCTGGGCTCTCTGCAGGCTTCACTGTCATTCACAAACACAGGCAAGATATACCCTAAAGCATTTGCTGGACAGGGCAGCAGTCCTAGTCTTCACTCTCAGCTTTCTGCCAGGAAACGCTGAAACGTGACAGTGACAAACTTGCAAAAAGACTGTTAGACAAGTCTCAGAGCTGAGGGAAGCATCCAAGTGCCCACCTCACAACATGTCTTAGAAGATGGTACTTGCTCTGTATGTGCAGCCATGGTGCTGAATTATCCTTGGTCTCTTGCATAACAACTATTCTGGCCCAAATGCACCCTAACGCAGGCAAAGCCCAGTGATAAAGGTTCACCTGCTCAGCACCTTTCAAGTGACTTGGTGCTTTGCTCCAATTAAACAGAAGTGGCTACACAGAAAACCTCAGACCAAGTACGCGGAAGAGGGCAGGGGTGGCCAGGCCAGGCACAGCTTGCTGTGCCACCAGTCACCATTGCTCAGCAGAGTGTGGAAAAGGATAAATGTCTCAACTGTGAGAGGCAGGGTTACTTCTTTCAAGAGAAGGAAGTAAAGAAATATGACGCTTTGCAAAGAAGGATCTTTATGCCGCCCGAGGTTAAGTTCTTTGGGTGACTCAGGGCAACCCATTCAGCAGTAAATCCATTTTCCACTGGTGATGCAAGTTGCAGTCTGACCATAACAGCTGGAGCCAAGGACCAGGAATAAAACTTCCTTCCTGTCTTGGCTGTTTTGCCAGCTCTGCTTCAGTCCTGACATAAGGCAGATCATCCCACCAAGGGTGTCCTGCTTAGAGGCCAGCCTCTTTTCAGATCAAGCTAAGCACAAAAACCTCATGAAACAGTTAGAATGAAACCTTCATTCTAATACTAGCAAAATAAACCTGTTCATGCAACACACATGGAAGCAGCATACAAGTCCAACTCATTTGCTCTTCCCTGAACAGTGCTGTATTTTAACCAAGATGTCTTTTGATTTTAAACAGAAACATCTTGAAACAGAACTACATCGCCCCTTCAGATCGACACTTCACCTTGAAAGCGCTGCAGTACCTCTGAAGGCAACTCTCAGCCTAAGAAAGGCAAGAAAACAATCAAGGCACCTTAGCTAGAGGCTGATGAAGCACAATAGGAGAGAAATTTCACTTTGCATGGTGTTTCTGTGGCAGAAAATATCCACAAGGGCCAAGTACAATAGAGTTCAACATCTTTGAACCATGGGGCTTATGTTGAACATGCTCTTAACTCAAACATTTAATCTGAGGGTCATTAGTATATTTAAATAGGTCTAATGTAAAGCTAACCTTAGGCTCAACCTTGTTTGCACAGGTAAGATTAGGGTCTGTTACAAAAAATCACAGAAACTTCTCCCCCTGCTTCTGAAAGGCACAAGTATTCCAGGGATTTGGTCTTTATCATCTGTTTTCTCAGTGGAAAAATTTAATCCCATTAGGTACACAATTTGAATTACTGAAGCCTGATATGGTTAGATATCTGCGCTTAGGACACTGTTTTAGTATCAAGCAAGCTTATCCCCCTCAGAAATGCAGTTTCCTCTGCATTTGGTCTCTCTGGTAGCACTGCAAGCTGCAGCCTACAACCATGAGTGTGTTATAAGGCACTAAAGACTCCTGAAGACTTTACCTTTAGACCTTAAATGGCAAAAAGYAGGCAACCTCATGCAGCTTGGCTGAGGTCCTAACAGCAGACAGCACAGCCAGACTTATTTTCATACTTGTTGCTCAGGGCAAGGTAAGAAAAATACCAGGTACCATTTTGCTACTACAAACAACTAAGTGCCACAGCTCCCCATGACATCCGGCTCTGCAAGGTTAGCTGAGGGGTAGATTTTCCAGATCATAAAGACAGCAAAAAGCAACTGTAGAAAGATGCAAAGCAAGAAACACTGCCCCTCACTCCAAACTGAATCAGACACACAAGTCCCATACATGCATGCTCTGAGTTAAGTCACACATGAAGCACAAAGGTGCCTAGGTTCACAGCACAGCCTCAGCTCTGACATGGGTATTTTAGGGTATCTGCATTAGTCTTGCAAACCAGCACCTTATACTTGAAATACAAGGACCATCCAACCCTCTTTGGCAGCAAGAACACAAAGCTAGTATGTTTGGAAAGCATTTTCAAACTTTATTTACAACTGTCACAGTGACAAAAATGTAGTTTGAAAAAAATGCTAGCTTCTCCCTGAGGCTCAAAAAAGAATTACAGAAATATAGAATGTATATCATACAACAGGAGGAGTTTTACTGGAGTGCTTTGTTCTTTAGATACGTTCAACAACAAATAGAAATATACACAATACTTCCAAAAAAAAGGATGCAGACAGAAAGATGCAAATCTTTAGGGCAGACAGCAGCTCTGAAGTCCAAGGATTGCCATTTCATTGCTGCCCACATGGTAGTATCTTTGATATACAGCTTTGAACTTGGTGGTACAGACTGGAGACCAATAGAGAGTAACACTTAAAAATAAGACRACTGGCTGGTATGCAGGTGTACAAGCTCATTCCAGTAAGACAGCAAGACTAGAACAAGTGTTACAGATACAACAGCTGAATCCACTGTTCAGAGAAAATGGTATCACTACATCAGGACCATTCGGGGACAAACCATGCCCCAAGGCTGGCAGGGAGCACATGTAACTGGTTCTGGGTTGCCAGAATAGGAGGAGACCAGCTGCAGTGTCATGACACAACTTTTCCTGCTTTGTGCTAACTAGTCTCCTATCTCATCTGCCTGAAACAGTTATGCAGAGCTGATAAGTTATTGCCATTATGTTTATACACAAGCAAGACAAGACTAAAACGATCCTGCCAATGTTAAAAGCAATTCTCAACCCCCACCAGCGTTTAACTACTTATGAGGTATTAAAAATACAAACACACACACACATGTCAAATAGATTTTAAAAATGGAACCAGTTATAAGCAAAGGGGGGTGGCATCGGGATTATTATGAAAGTTTGGTTAAGGCCTTGACATTTCTTTCTCTTCTGTGCCCCCAGATTTGGTTTARGTGGTAACTATTCTCATCCTGTTCCAAGACCCACTGGCTCCCAAGCTGGTCCCTGAAGCTGCAAGACAATCACTCTCCAGAAACATAGAGCATTAGCCTGTCCTGCAACACAGCTCCCTCCTTCCCAAACAGGGACTATTCCTCCTTGGAACAGGATATGCTGAAAAGGATAACCACGGACTTCACAAACCTGTCTGCACTTCATTAAACACCCATGCAWGTCTCCCTGTTGTTACAGGCCAGAAGCGTTTCCTGCCTAGGACASTCCACACCACATGTTCAGAGCAGACCTCTCCTGCAACACCCGACCTCCCACTGAAGATCTTTGCTAGAGCTCCCTTGGTCTACCTTCCCACTCAGGTTTGGCAGCACATCCCCACTCRCACAGGGGAGCGGTCTGGCCTGTCCTGCATCACCATGGCTTTAAGGAGGCCTTGAAGGCTCACAAAGCTGAAGATTCCCAACCTTTACAAGCCTGGTGAGCAGCAAGTTTGACACATGAAACCACAGAGCCTCAAAGACATCACAGGAGGCAGGTGGAAGCCCACTCTCCAGACACAATTGGCTTTGGGCACTGGAGCAAGATGAGACTTATCACAGCAGCCTCAGCAAACAGGAGAGAAAAACCCAAGGTGTTTAAATCTAGGCTAGCTCATGCTGCAGACAGAAGTCTCCACATTAGATTCCCATTACCTCATGCTAACCACCTGCAAGATAAACTAGGGCCTTGCAGCACAGATGACGAGCAGCAGCCTAACATTATCCTGCAAAAACAGCCGTTCAGCACTGAAGAGTCTAAAGGCAAAGAGAAGGGGGGAAAAAAACAGCTTTGGGCAAGTGGCTGGAACAGGCTCAACAGCAAGAGCAAGAAACCCTACTCCTACATATGCTCATGTTACTCTAGGAGGTGCTGGACTGGGGAAAAAATCTACAGGCCCCTCGTCAGTAGAGTATTTAGTGATACTTCACTGCAGACACCCTTCTACCCCCAAACACACAAAATGGAAGCTTTAAGAAAGGCATATCTGAGAGATGACGACTCTATTCTCATGCTTTTAGCCAGAGGCAGTTATTGGCTGAACACTGCTGCATTTTACTTCTTTATTCCCCYCCCCAAGCTCCCCGCAAAGCGTTCCTCATGTGTTCGCCTTCCACCATGCACTTGGAATCTCTGCTGCCTCAGCCTCAGAAAAATTCAGATAGTGATCTCGAGAACAGCAAACATTTCTCTGCGTTACTTCCTTCCTCAGAAGGTCTGGTGATTCTGTCACATCGAGGGCTTCAGTTCTCGATACAGAGAATACAAAAAAAACTAAGATCTTGCAGGTGCAAAATTGAACTTGTCTTTTTTTGTTTAAAAAAAGACTTTCAAAAGAAGTGTGGCTCTTCCTTCAGAAGGGTGCAGTCCCTTGCCTTTCCTTGGATGACATCTATTGCTCCTTGTTGTCCTTCTTTGCATCGTCACAGCTTTCTTCCTCCTCCTCTTCCTCCTCCTGCACGAGGAACTCCTCAGGTGGCCATCTCAGCTCCCCGCTCTCCACGTCACCCTCTGTTGGCTCCACCACGATTGAGGGCAGACGGTCCTTCAGCTTACAGTAACAGTCAAAGTCCGAGGGATCAGGGAAAATCTGAAAGAGCCAAGAAATAGTCCATGAGTGGAGCTGTTGCTTTCAAGCAGCCTTACATCCAGCAAAACCCAATTTAAGAGCTTTAGGTCTCCAGGACACAGTGTAAACCGCTGGGTGATAAGAAAACTCCCATGCTTGTAAATAAGTACTTCTAATCTATGTATATGAAGCAAGCACTGCCTTAGAGGCTTCCAAATAATACTCTTGCTTGGACAGTGCTCACATTCACATCTGCCCTTTATCTGAAAGCCACACCTTCCACCACCACCACTTTTGCATTAAAGCTCATGAGTTTGCAAACTAAGCTATCTCAATCTGAGAATCTAGCATCTCATTTCCTGCTTCTGGTCAAGCTACGCATGAAAACAGACTTGTGCTCCAGGCTTTGCTGCTAAAAGAGAAAGGAGGTAAAGCAGCAACAAGAGTTAGAGCTACAGAGTYCTGTGCCAAGGCCCAGCACCGGTATCAACCTAGGGTAACAGTAAAAAGCAGCTGCATTTTCAAGATAATCTTGGCAGCCTTTTATGGGCTACAATTTCTGGATATTAGCAGTGAGACAGTCATTTGGTGGAGATGTTGGAGACTGTACATTGCAGACAATACTGTCTGCATTTCTCGGGGCTGCAGCACAGCCAGGGAACATTCCCGTGTGAACGGAATGAGTATCTGCTCATCTCTAGCCCCTTGAAGCACGTCACTTCCATCTCCAGCTTGCCAGAAGTGTGCAGATGCACCACAGCAGACCAGGGCCAGTACTTGCTGGCAGTGTCACCAGGCTCCTCTTTGATCCCATTAGCTGCTGAAGCAAAGGCATGGGCACAGGAAGAACCACTATTGCACTGCAGTGTTGACAGCAGGCTTGTGCGAGTCAATCTGAACAGAGAAGTTTCCTATTGCTTGCAAAACAAAAAGAATATCCTTAGGTAAAGTTTGAAATCTCAATTCACCCCACGCAGAACTGCTGGTTGACAAGAACCAGTTGCCACAYTGGAGCACCCCGCTGATAATTAGACCATTAATCTCTTAGCACCTGTTTATTTCAAATATTATCATGTTAGAAAGCCAATTTCACATTATGGCTGCATTAAAACACCCTAAAAGACAARCGACAAACATCAAAGCAGTCCTGCCTCAAGACCAAGGTGAATCCAGGAGCTAGGTAACTTTTAAGTAATTTGTACTTTTCTCTGAAAAGTGGCATTTTTAGGTAAGTCCCAGTAGTGCCCTTGCAGGAAAACAGCACTGACAGCCTCAGGTACCAACACTCAGATTCCTCAGCTTGAGAGCAAATCAGATCTATTTTGCTCTTGGAGGTGCCATTTGCAAAAGCAAGATCCTGTCTAGGAGCCGTGAGCACTAATCCTGAAGTATCACACTCCTCATGCCAGTCACACAGGTGCCCACCACCTTGGGAAGAGCCGGCCCAAGGCCCAGAGCAGAGTGCAGTGCAGCCAACTTGTCCTTCAGCACAGCATCTACGAGCCACACCACTAGCAACTTTTCAGACTTCCAGTATTAGCTACATTCCTTCCTCGAGTTCAAAGTTTGAGGGAAACTAAGCACTGGTCACAGCTGCTAGGTAAGTAGCTTGAGAAAGCCACCAGGCTGCTCGGTACTGCGAAGCCAGGAACAGTAACTCCAGGAAGAGATGCTCAGAAAAGTGGCTCAACATRCAGGCAGTGCACAACATGCCATGTTTGTGCATACCAGCAGCCCCATCGGGTGCCCTGGGGACACAAGTCCAGTCCCCACAGCTGCCCTCCTCACCTGCACATTCAGGTGCTCAAGTGCAAGGCCTCTGACAGGGCCACATTAACATGAGCACTGCATATGAACCACCAATGGTCACTCCCAGCACAGGACAGTTACTGTTGTAGAGCTCTGTCGGCCTCTGCCTCAAAGAGAAGCAGCTTCAGATACCCCTTGCATTACTGGAAGTTCAGTCGATGGCTCTTGAGCATCAACTCATTAGCTAAACTCAGGATAGGGAAAAAAATACCCTTGACATTACATTGTTTAGAAGGTTGCAATGGAAAAAGAAGTGYGGATCAAGAGGTTATATAAGCTGATAATGTCATGAAAATAGCCTCTCGTGCAAGAAAAATAGCAGTATAATAATTAAACTAACCTTTGGCTGCTATCATTTTAAGCACATTAGGTCAAATTGGAGCAATTTCTTTGAAAATAGCCTGCCAGACTTTTTTCCAGAAACTAAGTAGCAGTCATTTCCTTACAAACAAGTATCCCCAAAATGTGGTGTGCAGCTTTTTTAATAAAAAAACTAGCACAATCTTATCTTAAACAGCTGCAGGACAGGCCAAACCCAAGAAGGTCAAGATTTTTTCCACTAAGTCATGCTTTTTAATCGTAGAGGCTGCATGAAGTGAGATGTTGCAACTACACTTTCAAGGGGTGTGGACAGTCAATGGAAAAAACACACAAAGGCAGATTTCCTAGCATGTGACAAGCAGGGCAACACAGCACGCCAAGTACAAGGACTGAAAAGAAAGAGGTTTTAAATTAAGACTTCATTTGCACATCCTGCAAAAGGGCAGCCTGCCTAGTGACTCCYAAGTAGGCCAAGCTCAAGGTGCCAGGCTCTTTAACACAGACGAGGGAGCACCAGCAGCGCGTGGTCCCACACAGCCAGCGCCAGGCTGCATGGAGTGGCACCAAATGTCTGATCTGGTCCCCTTCCAGACAGGACAATGGGAAGACAAGACTTGTAAAGAACATGAAGTTCCCCCTAGGAAGGTACAGGCTCGGGTCTGACCATGAGCTGTGCTCCTCCGTACACAGCAGCAGCAACAGCTTATCTAACAAAGCCACAAACAAGCTTTCCTTGCATTACCCAGCCCATGTGCCACGTGAAGCCTTTGCATTACCTGAAGACACAGCAGTGAGGGACTAGCTGCTTCCCATCTACCAGAGCAAGTTACCATACACACACCTAAAATGCTGATTTCTGGCTCATCTGGTCACCTGATGGGGAAAAACCACCACCACCAAGAGGCCGGTGGAGGAGGTTAGCTAAAATCTATTTTAGAAACCTGAGAAATTCCCCCTACCCACAGCCAGCCAATACAAGGGGAGGCACTGTGCTTGCTTCTGCAGAGCTGCAAATCTGTAGCTGAGCCCCCATTTCTAGCCTGCTGTGGCATCTTTAAAACCCACAGAGGAAGTGTTCTGTTGCTTCTTAAACCATAATACAGCAGCCTTTCACTTGCTGCAAGGGTATTTTCCAGAGGCCTCTCCAAACTGTCTTTTGAGACCTGCTATCTCCATTGCCCGTTTCAGATGAAACACAAGTTGCCCCCCTTCCCGCTGTTCTTGCTTTTCAATGCCCTTTCCAGCTGAAAGGCAATACTTGAGCTGAAAGCCTTAGACTTTAAGAAGATCATKCCTGCCTCTGTTTTGGATGATCTAGCCCTACTCTCCTTGAATGAAGTCTTGGCAACAAGAATGGAAAGTTTTCATTGCCTTGGGGAGGCTGAGTATTCATAGGAACAGAGAAACACCAAAAGCAGGGGATGTCAGACAATTAAAAGGATTCACTGCAGAGCTACCATAATCCAAGTGACACTTGTAAATTCAAAACAACTTCCACATGTGCACTCCCCCACCCACCAGGGGCCTGAAAACTGTTTTTCAGAGCAAAAAGGGTCTTTCTAAATTAAGTTATTACTTTGGGGAAAACTTTACTTCACTGYAGTAATACTAAGACAAGGCTAAAGGTCTGCATTGTGGGGCTTATCAATTTAGGTATAATTTAAAGCCATGCTGCAAGCACAGGGTAAGTGCTCGTCCTCCTATACTAAGAAAAATGGGGTTGCAACTCCTCAATAGTACCAAATTAATATTTCAAACCAAATCYGATTTTAAGTTCTCAATATAAAATTTCACTGCTACAGAAAAATAAGGCAAGATTATTCCAGGAAATACTTAGATTTAAGTTACTTCTTTGGAGAAGGTTTTCCAGCTACAGGAAACAGCCCTGCAAAGTTTTGCTCTTACAGTAGCCATCACTTGCAACTGAGCTCAAATTTATGAGCTGTGAAAACTCTGCAGTGTTTGCCCTGCCTTGGGGACAGTGGCAACTGAATTTCATACACAATCACAATTTTCCAGAGTAACAAGGCATTGAGTAAGGAGGGAAAAACATGATGAGCTGTTCTCTTCAGCCTGAATTTCAGTGTAGCACTTTTTTTGCATAGCACTGAGCAAGATTTCCTTTGGCTCTGTTTATTCCTTTGCTCAGTTCTGACTTCATTTTAAGGTCTAAGACCCAGGGATACTCAAACTCAGGCTAAAAACATTAAGACTACTAATGGCATATCTCTTTAGTAGCCAGGCACTGGCTTGTGATGCACTGCAGAAGACAACCAGGTGAAGTTACCCTACACTCACTCAGCATCACAAGCTGTTATYGCAGCCCAGTACCAAGACCTTCAGGCAGCACAAGTCAGGTCTGCACCAACATGAAGCACCTTACAACCATACAGCTACAGAAAGAAACCTCAATTTTCCATCTTCTCCCACCAGACCCTGGTGTCACACTCACAGCCACCAATTTCCCCAACAAGACGGAAAACCCAAGCTTTTGCCATAGACACTGCCTTGAGCATTAAAGATATTACCTCCACTGGGTCTGACATGATTCACAGCAAGCTGCAGCTCTGATTAACCCAGACAGATCCCAGCATGATGCAATCGTGACTTAAAAGAGCTTAAACTCCCCATGAGAACCAAGCCCCATCGATGGTATGAAACCAGGTCCAACTCTGCACCCCAACCTCGTCTCTCAAAGGGGAGCCCGAGGTGCTGCATGCCGAGCAGCAAGTCTGCAGACACACGCACAGGCGGCTCCGCTCGGGATACACAGTTTGCTCAAAAATAAACACTTGGGGCATCAGAGTGTTTTCAGTTAYGCTCAGACCCAGCTCCACTTCCAAGAAGCAAGGCGAGATTCGGGTCAAGACTCTGTTTTGACAACAGCTCAGTGGGATGATTAATTCAGTCGCGAACAAGGCTAATTTCAGGAGCGCCACACGTGCCGCTGCGAAACAGCCCTAGAGGACAYGCTGGCAGAGGGCTGCTTAGGCCTTCCAGAGGCTGGGGCTGTCTAGGGGCTGCRGGAAAACAAGCTGCATCTTAGCTCCAACTGGCAGCAGAAAGGCCCAGCTGGCAGAGAACTGCCAGAGAGGAAGCGAGCGGCAGCCTCCATGGGCACATCTGCTTGGAGCAGGGGCATCGTGAGCCATCAGCTGCATTTCAACGAGGTTTTGTTTAGTAGTCCCATGGGAATTATGGGACATCTATTAAAGAGCCAGAAATAGCTCTCCACTGCAGGCACAAGACCCAGGATGACATCATCTTTTCAGCTGCATCTTCTGTTTTGTCTGTGCCTCCCTGTTCCGGGAGGCTCATGCCCCAATTTTGCCATTCACTGCTGCCCAGACCCTTTAAACCCACTGGCTGAACTGTCTTCAAGGGGTTGTGAGCTCAGCTTTACATGGCAAACACAGGAATAAAAACAGAAAGGCTCTGAAGTTGGCACTGCGTTAGCTTGCAAGCCTGGTACACATCAGCTGGACACAGATTGCTGCACAGAGACAGCAGCCCCACATGCTGCCTTTTCCTAAAGGAAATTGCCTATAAAACTAGGTCTAGCCAGGCAACCCAGCTACCACAGACAGGCAACTGGTGCCACTTGAGCTTTCACATCACAGCTTTGCAAGCAGTGATGATCAGCCCACACAAGGCCAGGCAGCTTCACTAGTGGGTGCAGTTAGTGCCAGACAGCCCAGTTCACATCCAGCAGACACCAGTGCAAGAGCAGGCAAGGGAGCACAGGGGGAAGGCAGCAGCAGAGGCAGAAGGACAAACTTCTGTGGGACTTTCTGTGGGAACTTGACAAGACRGACAGGAACAACCCTGAAGTTCAGTGAACTCCACAGAGCAGGGGAAGCAAAGCAAAGTTTACTCTCAGTACAATTTATTTGTATCTGCAGTTTACCTAGCGGTAAAAGCCAAAATACTTGCAAGCAGCATTGCTGGTAGGACAAGTCTGCCTGCAGTAGAAGCAGATTTTCTTCACAGCTCAGCAGAGCTGCTGAACCATCCTCTCTGATCCAGGCCATTTCACATCTGAATGTGCTGGGAAAAGCCAACCCCCTTCTCACTGCCAGCACCTGAGGGACCAGCTCCCAGGAAGGCCCTCCTCCACGCAACCCAAAAGATGGCATTTTCAACATCAGTTTATGGTCATATCTGAAGTGAGAGAAAAAYCCAAGCTATCCTGCTGGAAAAGAAACATTTGGAAAGCCCACCTCTCCCCACCTTGGCCCTATGCTCTTGCCTTCCATGGCCAACCGTTATTACACTCACACCTTGGAAGCCCAACTCTGCAGATCAGCAAAGGAAGATGCAGCTTAGGGCGAGTCTCAGCATAGAGGCTGTCACACTCCATTAGCTCTGTCTGGATTTGAATTATTGCACTACAGCACTCGACTAGCATACAATTTTCCATGTACCAAACAGTCTCTCCATCAGCAGGATGGAGCAAAAAGTGCCAAAGTCTGAGGCAGAACAAGGCGTTCACAGTGCCACTTGCATTTCATTTGTCCTTGCTGTTTTAACTTGAATTTTCAACTGCCTAAGGATGTTTTGAACTTACCTTGATTTATGCTGCAACATTTTCAGCCTAACTGCTAGARGAAGGCTGCAGCCTGCTCTCCAATCCTCTTTGCACTAACCTGATTTAGTGGCAGACCTCRTACACAGCCCACACATGGCTCGTATCCCATCAGGATCTTCTATTTCTGGCCCTCAATCCAGACAGCAACTTCTCTGCACAATCACCAAAAGCAGCCTTTTGCCCTCAGTTTGGCTTGCACCACAGCAGACTACTTACTGGAAGACACCCTGTTAACAAATCCCATAGATCTTCTCTGAAAAAAGCAATCCATGCCTAGAGCACTACAGAGAGGAGATCCAAAACACGTAAGCCCTGCATAGATGCGAGTCGTCAGAGTTTGTGACTCACACSCTCCAGGTTCAGATGATCCCCTAACAACTGAACAGGCCCATTCCCCAGTTTATCCAAACGGATTTATCAAGGTCATCAGCACTGTGGGGAAAAGCCTTACTAAGGCAATGGCTGGAGCAAGCAGGGCACCTACATTCTGATACGCTGGGCAGAACTGAAAAATTCGGGGAAGTAAACAGGAGCATTTGACCTGCCCGAGTTAAGCTTCTTTATAYGGTGACCCATTAACACAATTGCTTGAACATCCAGCACACAGGGGTTGGTCCGATTGTTTCAGGATTAATGACCATTCCCATTGTTGCACACTCCCTCCACAGGGGAGGGAAAGAGCAAGGCCACACGCTCTCCTTTAACTAGAGCACTAAAACAGCACAGTTATTCCTACACACAAGCAATAAACCAAGCTCGAATGGACCAGATGCAGACCTAAGAGCAGCCACGCATCTCCTTTCCTTCCCTGTAGCACTGGTTTACGCTGGAGGCCTGAGCTGCAGCCCAAAGTTCACTGGATTTCATGCTCCAGCTCACTGTTATAGACTCACGGCTCATTTTTCAGACTTAAATACGCAAGCATACAACAGCACACCTAATTTGAATGCACACTTACAGCAAGGGCCTCTGTGAAGGTTGTGTAACATCTGCAAGGAAAGAGCTCTGCATCAGAAGCTACCCTTAAGAGCTGCTCTGTGCAGAGACCAGATGCAAGTCATCTGCATGCACTCAACTCCTGCGCTAAATCTCATCAACAAGTTTCCTGGAAGAGCCAGGAAAACCAGTCTGATGCACACACTCATCCTATGATTAACTATAAGCCAGGAAACATGAGACAGAATCTAAAGGAGTAAGACTAAAAGGGTTTCTAAGACCATCTGCTAACCCCAGCCACTGATCTAGAAGTTAACAGTTAATGGCATCATCCTCAATTTTCAGCATGAAAGCAGCTCCCACCTTCAGGTACCCATTATCTCCTCAGACATTGCAAAGCTGTCTCTGGCCTTACCTTGTGCTACAGAAGACCACCAGTCCCCTCAGATAGGCACAAAGCAGTCAGGAAAAGAGAAATAGCTGGAAAGATTTCCATGCCATATAAACAGCTCCCATCTGCTCTAGGCAGAACACATGTATGGCTCTCAGTCTTCTCCCCCTTGTGACAGGAGCAAATCCTACTTTAGCCGGTCTCCTGCCAAGCTACCAAGAACGCTAAATGAGCRGGAGCTTCATCACTCCAGAAGCAATGAAGTCCTTCACAGATCCAGCCTGATAGCAGTATTTCCAACAAATTGCTCCTGCCAAGCAAGCATTCCACTCTGTTGACTAGTCCTCACTTTAGCGAGCCCGGCTGTTGGGCCCGGCTCCGGATCAGTGCATCACACCGAGCTCACCACAGCCCTGGGGAGCGCACAGGGACCCGCTGCAGAAGCGCTTACCTGGTATGAGAGGCCGTCCTTGCGGGGGCTTAGCCCRATCTCATCCATAGCCGGGGTGTTCATCATCACTTCAGTCATCTCAGCTGATCTCAGATAATCAGAGCTACAACCAAAGACAGCACTGAAATTACCCGAGGGCTCCAGAAGGGCTGAGCAAAGCCTGAGGTGCATCAAGGTGCTACAGCAGGGGTGGTCACCAAGCTGTTCCAGGCTCCCCTCCTTCCTGCCCCCTGGAGATGGGAGAGCAGCACCTCTGGCCCAAGCAAGTCCAGCACCCTGGGCACAGCAACCCCATTTCTCTCTGCATCAGTGGCTCGAGAGCCCCTTGCGAGGCTTTAACGTCAGTGAGCCASTTTCTACCCCACTTCCTGGAGCCCTGCTCCCAAAGTGGCAGAGAAGGGTCCCACGYACGTCCCCAAAGGACAAAGGTGCAGCCGCTGGAGTTTCCCAGTCGCCATTCCTCACAGCTCCAGCTCCCGCCGACTTGTTCTACAACCGCGGGGACCCGCGCACCGGCGGCGCGGGCTGCGCCAGCGCTCGCGGCCATAGCGCAATTCCCACCCCAAAAACGCCTCGAGAAAGCGAAGCGGATCCCTGAAGATCCTCTCCTCGGGGTCCGTTCACGCTGCCCCACGGAGCGCCCCCCAGGCACAGCCCTGCGGCAGCGGCAGCCACGAGAGGCGGCCACGGGAGCCCCGCGCAGCGCGGCCGCCCCATGGGCTCCCCCGCCCGCCCCGCCGCGGGGCGCCCACTCACCAGGGCAGGGGGCAGAGCACAGACATGAAGTCGCGGCAGAACGGGGCAGGCACCGACCCACAGCGGCACCCACGGAAAGCGCCGCGGACACGAGCGCGCTGCAGCCGCCGCTCCCGCCGCTGCCTCCCGTGCGAGCCGCGCCGAGCGCCGGGCCACCCCTTATATAGCCCCGGGGGCGGGGCCTGGCCCGCCGGCCACGCCCACGCGGCGCGACGTCACCAATTTCATGAATGGCCCCGGCGCGCGCTGCCCGTGGCGGGAGCCCGCGTGGTTCTGGTGCGCGCGCGCGCGAGAGAGAGAGAGAGGGCGGGCGGGAAGGAGGGAAAGGCAGGAGAGAAAGCGGGACGGTGCTGCCGCGGTCGGTCGCGACAGGGAGTCACGTCGCGATGCGGCACCCCCTGCCCTTGCCTCCAACGACCCTGGTTCCTTCTTGGGAAGGAAGATTTTACCTTTTTTTTTTTTTTTTTTTTTGAGGTACAGCTCCCCTCCCCCCCCGTGGGGCCATCATGCCCACGGGATGGAGACCCCCCAGGCCTGATGTGTCGCTAGGGCTGCAAGATGTTTAAGGCAATGTGCAGCCACAGGCCCAGGAAGCCAGAGCCTACCAGMGGGATAAAAGGGAAAAGGTGGCTTCACTGGCCCAAACTCCCAAGTCTTCGAGGGGACGGGAGTGCAAGGAATGGGCATCTGGCCCCCAGCAGCCACACCAGCCACCYGAGCAAGTGTGAGGGCAGAGTGAGCGCAGAGAGATGCTTCCCTGGGAGCCTATGGGAAGGTGCAGGCCGGGCACCTGGGCAGACGAGGCGCCGTGTCCCTCATTTGGGGCTGACCAGAAAGCTCATTGCAGCCAAGAGCTTTCTGGTCTCCCTCCCATGTCCGCAACCAGGGGATGAGGGGCTTATAAATGCCCACAACCTATGAAATTGATAGAAGATGCCCAGTCCTGCTCCACAGGAAACCTTTTGCCGTAGAACCTTTAGCTGGAGGAAAACAGAAGGAGCAGCTACCCAAGGCCATGCTATATTTAGCAAAACAGTGGGAATCAATAAGGGCAGAGGAAAAGAAGGCAAATCCATTTGCTGCCAGAAAACGTGAGAGGCTTGTGGGCAGTGGTGGGTGAAGYGCATTTCCTCCTGGCTTCAAACTGCCAAAACAGAAAATAAGATTCATCTTTGGGCAAAGGCCCTGGGCCTCAGCAGATTCAGCCAAAGCCCGGAGCACATCCCTCAGGCAGCGCTCACCGGCTCCTTGGGAATGTGCAGTGCCCAGCACGGTGCAGGCACCTCCACTGGTTTGGGTGACCTCTCTGTCCTCTGCTTTCCGACCCCACGAGAAGCCCCTTGCCCTAAGCCAGAAGGTCCCACTTCCCTCCTCTGCTGCCCCAGGGAGCTATTTATCCTGGAAGGGCAAAGGGCTAAGTAAGACTCTGGCTTTGCYAGCCACGGGGATGGCTACACACACACCTGGTGAGCGATCCTTGCAGGTACCGCGCTGCCCCTTCCAGCGCAGCCGCACGCGTGCCTGTGTGGCCATCACCGGCCCCGGTGTTTGAGCACCGACGGGAAAGTTYAGCACAAAAGAGACCTTGTCCTCAGTTCCACCTAACCAACCTTCAGTCTGCATAGAAGTGTGTACATACATGCGTGCATGTGGTTCCTCAGACCGGATAATTTAATCTTCTKAGATTCATATTATATAATGGCAGTGCATGTGGGTGCTTTTGCATCAGGATTCGGCAAGCTCCTTCTTTGTGCCAGATTAAAATGAATCACAAGGAGCTGATCTGGCCYCTGCAAGCACATGGGAATTGGGGTGGGTGCAGACAAGCCCCCTTGAGAGGCGAAGGCGGCTCTGAGTCGCTGCCGGTGCCCAGCTCCCGCAGCAGCCAGCACGTCCCCCTCGCGCCCATCTGCACTAAGAGYAGTGAGAAGAGGAGCAGGTCCCCAAAGCACGAGGCTGAGGTGCCTCAGYCGGTGCCTCATGGTCTGCAGAGAGGCTGGGGATGCCTCGGGAACGGGAGGTGTGGCCTGCTTTCGGTGGGAAAGGCAGGGCTGGCTTYGCACAGCCAGGTAGGGTTGTGGTTCTGCCTCGATGGTGGCTTTCTTGGGGGGAAAAACTATCAGAAACGCCCCAACACATCTATACCAATTGAGTGGGTTCCTTGCCACTGCCTTGGTGAGAGCATCGGCCTCCGGGCCGGTCGGTTCCGGTAGGGAGCCGTGCAGATTGATGCTTTTCTTGCTCGCCTTGGCTCCTCGCCGGCGAGAGGTTCATTCCCATGCCTAAGCATTGGCGGCTTGGCAGCACTTTGGGAAGTGCAGGCACCCTCACTCTGGCTCCTCCATGAAGGGGCATTATGCAAGGGTAGCCCATGCAGAGGGAGGGTTTACCCTGTGCCTTAATCAGCGAATGTTCCCTGGGCAGCTAAGCCTTTAGAGGGGGTGAGAGTCATGGAGCCCCGTTAGCCCTGTGGCGGCTGGGCCACCATTCCCAAGCCCCACGTGTCCCCACGGGGGACGCCATCAGCTCACTGCATCCCCGAGCCTACAAGGCCAGATTCCTGCTCCTGCTGTGACACAGAGCTAGGGAGCATCCGTGCACCATGCGGCCCTATGGCTGCGAGGCAGCACAGGGAGAGGACAGAAAAYGGCATTGGATTTGGGGTTCATTTTGACAAAACATCAGAAAAAAACGAGCAGTTTCTGTTCCTGCCCTGCCCCAGCACTGGGAGCGAGGCCAAGCCCTGCCCAGCACCTTCCGAGGCTTTTGCTTTGGGGTTGCAGTGGGATCTAGTAAAAGGGGCCAGCACACCCCGACTCCCACTTTTCTTGCCTATTGCACATGCTCACCCGATCCCGTGCTTTATTGCATGGGGACACCCTTGTCACCTGGGGGCACAAACGGCAGCACTTGAACTCTCAGCTGGGAAATGGATTTCCAGGGAGCAGAGTTGATTAAAACCAGATGAACTCTTACGGCTTTTCTTCTTTTTTCTTTTTTTTTTTTTTTTTTTATTTTATTCTTGATTTTATAAATCTCTAATGTTTTGCTTTTCAGGAGAATATAAAAAATAATGCAAGATGAAAAAGTAAAGAAACAGCAGCAACTCGCTCCTCTGCTGCAAATCCACAACAGCCAAAGGGGCAGAGCAACCAGCAGGTGAGGCGACAGCCCCCACTATTCCCRTGGGAGCATCCATGCCTACCTGCAGCCACCGCACAGAACTAACACTGCAGCTGGGCCAGGGCTGCAGCTTCTCATCCCCCTGTCTGGACCCTAAGTGTTTTCCCCCACAATTTACCTAAAATGATGTGAGTAGCCTGAATTTGAGCCCAGATTAAATTTAATGCCCACGAGCCTGACGCTGAGCGGGCAAGCGAGGCTGCGAGAGGCGACGTGACTGGCGCGGGGTCACCTCCATTCGGGAAAGGAACTCGGGAGCTCCTGTCTCTCAGCCAGAGCTGCAAATCCTACAGGGAAAGTTTCCGAGCGAAAAAATAAACTCTTTCCCATTTGGAATTTAAAAACAAAACCGTGGAAACATTTTTTTCTCGGTCTAATGTTTTGCAAAAAGTTATTTTAACAAATTTAAATTGGGGGCCCGCTCTGACCGGCCGGTGCCCTGGGAAATAGTTGAATCCAGGCCACAGCGATGGCCGCGTCRGAGCTGGGGCTTGAGCTCCAGCGGCCCTGCCGCTCCCGGCACGTCAGCCCTCAGCCCAGGGACAGCGGGCCCCGGCCTCTGCCCCATTCCTGGGATTTGCCCRTGTGGGAAGGGCTGTGCAGCCAGCTTGCTTGCTGCCCCTGTTTTTCATGGCTCTGTAATGTCCATGCTTACACAATCTGCACAGTGAGGGGCAGACTGAGGAGTCCCTCGAGCGCAGCTGAATTGATTCCCAAGGAGTCAAAACAACCGAGGAAAACAAATTGATGCCAAAACCCCGAGCTCTGCTGATTATTGGGTAAAACCCTTTCAAAGTCAGAGCGAGAGCCGCGTTGCCCATGAGGGTACCCGAGTCCTTGCAGGCTTTGGAGCTGGGGCACCGCCGGGATGTGAGGAGGAGGCCGGGCTKAGGGACCCCAGCAGTGGCGCTTGTCCCCCACTCTCACACTTGCGTGTGCAAGGGGCAGCACGTTCCCGTGCGCCAACCCCACACCACGCTGTGTCTACACGTCTCGCAGACGCCTGTTAAATGAAACCGTGATGCTCAACAGTGACCTTAGCCCTGACCTAAAAAGACCTACATCTGTCAAGGAGCAAGAAGTAATCCCATAAAATCCTCAGCTTCCTACTTAGGAGCCTAGGCTATTTATCCTCTGCCTTCTGCCCTGATGGCTCTCACCAAGGCAGAGATCGGGGCACTAAGTGCTTCTTTGGGGACGCCGGGAATGAGTAGCAAAGCCGCTAAGTGTTTCTGCTCTGGGGAGGCCTCTCCTTTCCTCTTTCGTGACCCAAGCCCCAGAGCAAAGATGGAGACAGACAACAGGGAATGAGCYGGTTCCCCCACTAGTTGCAGGTCCCCCCGTGTGAGGCCAGGGCTTGCGGTTGGCTGCGCCCCGAGAGGGTGCTGAGTTTGCTGCAGGTTAAATGCTTTTGACTGAAGTGGATCAGAGCAGCAAAAAAACAACCCCTCTGCCTCAAGGAGGGCATCTCTACAGGGAGGGGTGGAGGTACCCCAGGCACAAGGTAGCCCCGTCCCTGCTCCAGTTGTATTAGGTGTGGGCAGTCCAGGCCTGGCAGGAGCAGCTGGACAGGGATCAGGCTGCGGTGACTGGTCTGGCACTGTGGCTGCCGAAATGCAGGTGCTGCCCGATCCCGCACGGAGGAGATTGCCCTGAAACCAGGACCTGCAGCAGGAGCAGGTGCTTGCCAAGGTTTCAGAGAAAGGTTTAGCTGTGGTATGAGGCAGTGGAGAGCTGCATGTGCTGTGGCGGTGAGCCGGCTGCTTCCCGCTCTCCTCCTCCTCGTCCTCCTCAGCGCGGCGGACCTGCTTTGGACGGCAAGTACACGCTCCCTGCCGGGCACCGGGCAGCTTTGCAGCCGCTCGTCTCACCGCGTGCGGCTGCAGAGCTGCCCAGGCTGCCCTGCTCGGGGGCACCTGCCTTTAGGGAAGAGCC